CCCATATCTTTTTTCTTTATTCATGGATGTTCTCACTAGACATTTGCAAGAGGATGTACCTTGGTGTATGCTTTTTGTTGACGATATTCTTCTTGTTGATAAGACTAGAGAGGGAGTTGAAGGTATACTTGAATTATGTAGATTAACCTTAAAGTCTAAAGGTTTTTCCTTCAGTAGATCTAAAAATAAATATATGGAGTGTAATTTTAGTAGCAATAGACCTAGTGAAGGGATTGTGACTTTGGGCGATCAAGTCATTAATAACAATACACGTTTTAGATATTTTAGATCTATTGTTCAGAGTGATGGTGAAATAGATGAAGATATTATCAGCAGAATTAAAGTTGGATGGTTGAAGTGGAGGAATGAATCGGGCTTGTTGTGTGATAGAAAAGTCCCCCTCAAACTTAAGGGAAAATTCTATAAGATGGTGGTGAGACCTGCAATGCTTTATGGTGTTGAATGTTGGCCATTAAAAGAGAAGAATAAAACTAAGTTAAGTGTTGCAAAGATGAGGATGCTATGGTGGATGAGTGGCTTTATCCTTAGAGATAAGATACGAAATGAGCATATACATGAAAACGTTGGAGTAGCTCCTGTGGAAGATAAGAGTAGAGAGAGTCGCCTTGGATGGTTTGGTCACATTAAATGGAGGCCTTCATATGACCCGGTTAGGTAAGTTGAGGTATTAGATTTGACTTATGTTAAGAAAGGTGGAGGTAGACCTAAAAAGACTTAGAAAATATTAGAAATGATATTTATTTATTAGATTTAAATGAGAATTAGACTTTTAATAGGACGCAATGATAAAAAAAGACTCATGTAGCCGACCCCACGTAGTGGGAGAAAGGCTTGATGTTGTTGTTGTATGCGTCTTACTATCTTAGGAGCAAAGTAGTTTTGGTTTACGCCCATTGGCAAGATATCAAGTTCACTACAAGTCTCTTGTAAGTCTTATTTAGTTTATTATTATTCACATTTTTACAACTTAGCACTCCCTTTGATTAATTGAATTTTTTGAAATTTAATTTATACAATTTTATATCAAATTTGTGCTAAAAAAAGGATTTTTAAGTTCAAATTGGGCCCCTTGTCAATCCAACTTTTGAAAGCATCCTAACATATTCCACATATAGGTGGCTTCACTAGGTACGTTGGGCCTTTCCATTAAAATTTCTTTACATTAGCGTGCATATATTGGCTCGCCAGATTTTCATTACTCAAGCGTGTCGATTTTGTCCTCGTTCTACACACGAAAATTTTCTATTTTGTCAATTGAAAACCCCAACCAATATAGGTGTTGATATTAGTTGTTTTAGTTGTATCTAGTTTGCGAACATACACCATTTCGAAAATTTTGACTTTTGAACGACACATCTTAAGCAATCTTCGTACTTCAGTCATCGTTTAACTATGCATGGTTGAGTCGACCGTAGAGCCACCATTAAGGTCAACATACATCATTAATTCTAAAAGAGTTAGAAAGATGGAAGGAAGAAAAAACAAAATGTTATGGGCAACCAAATGAATTTTACGATGTGGGAATCTCACTCACACTAAGGAAATAGATAACTCTCTTAAACATCCAAAAGCAGGAAACCACTAAAGCAACCTAGTAGAAATGGCATTATGATAGGATATCAGACAAAAAAACAGAGAATAATCAACCTCAACTTAAATGAATAATAATGTGTCAAAGATCCAAATTACCAATTCAAAATGAACACAATAGCATATGATCAAAAAAAATTTGAATAATCTCCATCAATCGATGATCAAACAAAAATTTCCAACAAGAAAGTACTCAAAAGGATTTACAAGCTCTAAAATATCATCATTATGTAGCAAGATAACAGATTTACCTTTAAAACTAAAAGAAAGTTTAATCATAATGGAATGACAAACTAGGAAAATACTACTTGTCAAAGCATTCCTCATGTATCTATCTTCTATTATGGATAAATTTTCTTTGGGCTACCACATAGGAGATCATTCACAAATTCATGTTTACATTCAGTTAGGAACTTTTGTGTTGGGCTCATTGGCGATCATTATATCTCTATAAGATTTTCAATTGAAATAGATTACACCAAACTCTTTTCATGGTGATCTTACTATGTCAATGGATACTTACCTAACACTCTTGTTTGAGTTGCATTTCCTCACTTCACTTATATTATTAAGCCTATTTTTAATAAAACTTTACAACAGGATGCAGCAACAGCTCATTTCTCTTGACTATCGATGGGTAGAGTTCTGCGCAAATTGGAAATTTCTATTCCTTTTGAATATGAGGTGTGGATTGATTCCTCTTCTTATGGTTATTGTTAAAAGGTTGAATTTCAAAGGTGTTCCTTCTTAGTATTATTCTTACAAAAAAATTTTAACACAACTACTCTAAATATTTAAAGGCTCATTCAGAATTGGGAAACCAAACATCAAGACACAAGGAGAGCACATTAAGGATAAGATTCAACCTCCTAACATAACAGTTGTAGCTTCTCCTACTTCAGATCAGGATTGCACACAAAATATGGAACGAACTTTAGACCTTTCAATGGATTCAGAACCTTCTTTATCTATTCCTGCTAGCCTCAGTGCCTACAACCATTGACAATGATCATGATCCTCCTAATAGGATTTCCCCTCCTATTACTAACAAATATGATGATCATATTTCAAAGCAGCTTTATGATTTTGATTGGAGTCAGCAAAGGATTGATGCTCTAGTGGATCGGAAGTTTCAAATTATGTTTGTCAGGCAAGGAAGGATTAAGAAAAAAAAATCCATCGTCGCTCACCAAGATTCACTAAACTAAAAGATGTTGCTAATGAGTTTTACTGTATTTTTTTTTTTTTAACTAGAAGGATTTTGCATTCTTGCCTCATGTTGCATGTTATTTTACTTTTCATTTTGTATTTTTCCTCTAAAAAATAATTGCCTCTTTATGTACTCATATCCAGTGGCGGATCCATATCCTTTTTTTAGGGTGGACAAACTTAATATATAAAAAAATAAATACAAAAAATTCTAAGTAAAGTCTTGTAATTCATTATAATTTATGAAATAAAAAACAAATTACAAAATTTACATTATACTTTGCATTTTTTGATAATATTACATAATGACTTCATTCGGAATAGAATCAAATACATCTTTCTCAATATAAGGCACTAGACAGTCATTGAGCCAAGCATCACCCATTTTACTACGCAGTCAATACTTAAAATCTTCATTGCAGAAAATACTCTATCTTAGCAGTAGCAACTGGTAAAGCCAGCGCCAAAACAATAAGTCTATAAACTAGTGGATACACTATTTTTTTGACCTTTACCATCTATTTTCCAAGATTAGCAATACTAGTCAACGATGTAAACTCATCACTTGTGTGCACATCAATAATATAAGTAGACAACTGATGTTCAAGAGACATAAAATTGACCATCGAGAAATCTGATGGATATAACTCTGCAAGACGAATTAACTTTCCCTTATCATAAGCAATATTTCCTATCATTGTTTGAGGAAAATGATGATTTTTTGGTTGATGCGTACACTTCAACAAATAAGCTCTACGAGCTTTATCATGCTCATTCACATCATAACTCTAGATTGATGGTCTAAGACCAAGGTCAGCATGGAGATTGTTAATATCAATCTCGATACATTCTTTTCGCTTTAAGAATCGTTCCATTCTCAAAAGCCTAGTAAAAGAAGTAAAATAAACATTTCAGAACTTCTAACAAATAGTTAAAGCTTATCATATAAATCATTTTAAGATTGTTCTATATAATTGGAAATTCATTCTCTTCAAGGGTTGGAGAAAGATGATCAGGGTGATAAATGGCTTTATGATAAGCTTAAAGAGAAGGAAATCTATTGAAACCAAAGATCTTATGTAAAATGGCACTTGAAGGGGTACAAAAAATCCTTCTTACTTCAACAAACTTGCTAATTGTAATATAAAAATGTCACTCATCCAGAATATTAAGGAATGTAACTCTTTCCTCGAAGATCGAGAATATTATTTAATCTATTTTCCAATTTATATAAGGATTTTTTGAGTAAAAAACAACGACCTGCTCATAAGATTGATTTTCTTTGTTTTTGTTTATCTGGATTTTTCTTTTGCTTTGAAAGAAGTTTGAAGAGTTTTTTTTTTTCTCTTCGTGCTTCGAAAGCAAGAAAGATTTTCCTCAATGGCTCAATAGATGACAGCAAAGATTCGCCTCTATTTTCTTTGTTTTTGTTTATGGATTTTTCTTTTGCTTTGAAAGAAGTTAGAAGAGTTTTTTTTTTTCTCTTCGTGCTTCGAAAGCAAGAAAGATTTTCCTCAATGGCTCAATAGATGTGAGAGAGGGGAGCTGCCTGCTGCGAAGAAGAGGTTTCAAAGTCTTCATTTCGCGAAATATTTTGCGGCTGCGGCTGATGGCGTGATCGGCAGGTTTGATAAGATTAGGGAAAAAATTAATATTTCAGGGGGGGCAAAATACCAAAACTAGTTCTATTATTCTTTTTTGAGGGTGGGAAATGCCCACCCTAAGCAAACCGTGAATCCGCCCTTGCTCATATCAAGTCATAAAATTATTCTTTTAAAAAAACAAGTCAACAACCCTAATTTGGATCTATAGAAGTGGGTCAACCCAATCGGACTAAACTAGATGTTGGAGAGAATTCCATATCAATAATAAGCACATAATATGAGTAAGATAAATTTGACATGTAACACTAACCAAATGATAGGTTAGCAGTTGAAAACTTGAATTTTTCAACCAAGAATAATGATTGAGAAAATTAAAATTATAGCCTGCTCAGGCAGTCAACCTGTAATTTATACTATGCATTTATTACAAGAACATCAACCAAAAACTGTGCCAAAAAAGAAAATGAAAAGAACGATTAGATCCAATGAGTGAAAACTGAATAATGATAATTTGTCTCATTGATTTCAAGCACATGCTAAGAATTTCAGTATTTGGCCAGTAAAGGATCTTCTCACCTGGACATTACTATTTCCATCATTTCTTGATCTGTTAGATTTTCTGGAAGCTTCTGGCCCTTCGTTTGTTCGCTGAAAGCTAGCAGCATCCTGCAAATTCCGAAAGTATTATGGTAAAAACAAAGAATCTCCAAACAGCTTCATAGAATAAAAGTTGCATGTTTGGAACTCTTCAGATCCAATATTAATTTCATAGATGCTCATACATAATTTAACTATCTTCATAATTGAAGTAAAATTTACTGTCACATCAGCAGATAGCGCTGAATAAAATGTTAATATTTCAGAAGAGACGTTCTTGATATTTCAAGCAACAAATGCCTGATACATCGCTTGCTCAAAGAAAAAAACTAAAACTGAAGAATTCTCATTCTTAAATCAAAGGAACAACTAGCAAATGATTTCCTATATTAAAAAAAACCATATAAAAATTAACTGAAAATCAACTATTTCTAAACCCCTTCTTCTATCATTTACAGAGTAATTTTGTCAATTGCATACGTTTAGGTTCTTCAAGTAGTGGCCAGGCTTTGATTCAAAGACACAAAACTAACATTAACATCAAAAGTAATTCACTCATCAATCATCATTACTTATTTCTTCTGCTTTATTATTGGTTCCCAATTATTTCCTGTCCAACTAACAAAACCCGAAAAATCAAGGTTTTCTTTAGTTGCAATCACGTTTGAAAGGTACAATCAGATGCCCAAGAGCAGTCATCCAACCACTCTTTTTTCTCACAGGGCAAGCAAGACGTTCACTCTAACTATCAAGTAGGATAATTACACTAAAAATTGCTAACGCGTGAAATAATCTGAGTCACTCTTACTTCATAATCTGCTGTCATGAGATCTGAATAGTTTGCATCGACATACTTAAAAAAAAAATACTAAAATGCTATTTAAAATACTCTTTCATCTTCATTAGTGAAATTACTATGCTTTGCTCGTATCCTCAAACCCTAGCGTCTTAGGAGCAAAGTAAGAGGAATACAAAAGAAGTTGATAAATAATTTAATTTATCTTTCTATCCATTATTTCACAACTAGTTAGATATATAATGAAAATAGTGTCTAGAGACAAATTGGGCATTGCTATTCTCCTTTTCCCCCTTTAAAATATTTATTCCCGTCCCTATTTTTGTAGTTCCTATTTCCAGTCCGTTGGAAGAGCAAGAATAAAAAAGAAGTATAAAATAAATCCAAAAGCAAGGAATTTAATTGAGCGATTCGGAAACTAATTTGGTTTCCTTCCACAAATCAAAAGATTAGAATAAAATGTTGTGATTTGGGCCATGCCAAATCTTAGTCTTGCACAATAAAATTAACTAATTAAGTAATGAACTTCAACTAAAAAAGTATTTATGGAAACATTGGGATAATACACGCATGATAAGGTTTCTAGATTAGGCATGCTAAGAGAAAAAGAAATAGTGAAGTTTAAAGAATGCAAGGAATAAGGAAAAACATTAGTATTTTAAGCCATTGACCAACAGTACGGAGGTATCAGCAGAAGGGTTTACCTGTGAAGAGAGTTTGCAGTCAATTGCACTTCTTCCATTTCCATAACTCCCTTGTGTCTCTTCCGGAAAGTCTCAAAAAGCTCATCCCTAATAGATATAAGCTGATGAAACAACAGAAAAGTCATGAATCACAAACAAGATTAGGTAATATCATCTTTACAAGTAACTGAGTCATAATTTAGAAGCCTAGAATGGAGCAGTTCGAAGCATGAGAAAGCAATATAAGCTTGTTAATCTTCAACATCCACAACAGCAACATTAGCCTTATCCCAACTACTTTGACTCGCTTTATGAGTCCACAATCTTCATTCAATAATATTGTGTTGCATGAGGTTTTCAACCTATTCTATGCAAATATTTATGCACAACTTATATCCATAACACTTTTTACTTCCTAATCCTTTGACATCAATTACATCCACTGATATTATTAAGTGTGCAATTTCTACCCTTCATTATTAATGTCTAAAACACAAGTCTTTTACTATCCTGTGTTCAATGGATGACACTCTCATCATCCCCGTAATATCATTCCTCAAACTATCTTTTCGAGTTTTGTCACATATTCATTTATGTTGAGCTCAACTCAGTGATGATGATCATGATGTCCCTGTTGATTTGATTCTGGAAATTTTTACTCGAATCATATTGAGTCTAACATTGCTCTAACCATATGATCACTATACGAGATCAAAACAAGAAGTGCTTCAGATGCTTCTTCAGCAAATTATTTTTCATGCAAGACATGTTTCTTTCATTTAAATGGTCATCAAGTGCCACCTAGACCATAGTTGAACTAATGGCAACAAATTTCTCCAAAAATTATTTTAGATATATATTTTTCTCCAAAAAAAAAACTTAATTTGCAACACTCCTATAATCAACTAATCATCATATTAACCTTATCATAGTTATTCGACGTTGGCTTCATGAATTCACCTCCATTCTTTCATACTGAGAGATGCATAAAGTATTAACTCTATTTTGCACATCGTTTTGCATATTCTTGTCATTTTATATTTATTCTATCTCTTTGCTTCATTACATGTTTGCAATAATCTTGTCAACCAATCTTTTTGATACATCTTCTAGCTTCTCTTATCTATATATCCTTACCACCTAGTATTTTTAATAAAATTATTTTTGACAGAGTTCTACTGTATTCATCTTAATATTTTTAGCTCTACCACAATCAACTTGGGGATGAGACACTTCATTATTACATAATACTTTGATCCCATTTATGCTTAATTGTAGATTTAAAATGCTTGCCGTCAAGTTTGCAAATTTTTTATTATTGGATAGAGCAAAAGCTCAAAATAGTCCCCGACAATGGATAAATGTTCATTTTAGTCCCAAAGTTTCACATTACGCTAATTTAGTATCTCATGTTTCACTCGAGAAAAACAACACGTAGGCATGAATCCCGCTTTGCAACCATAGGATTTCATTCTTCTTAAGAAAAATTGTAATTAACCAGATTACCCCTAAGAGTGATATCAGGGTTTATTTAGATCTAGGTTCTTTCTTCCTATGAGAGCAAGCCCTCATAGTTAATTACCCCTCATATTGCATTAAAGAGAACTCTCGATTAAGGATGAACTAATACTTTAGATGTGCAACAATTTTATTTTTGGTTATGGGGGATGGAGGTAGATTCGATCAAGATCCCATGGTTTCATTATCCCGGGAATAACATAATTTTCAGTCTACCAACACTAACAATCATTGATCGTAGTATCCAGTGAATCTGATTAGCAATCATGGGTTGCTTCTTCTCAGGGATCCCGAGTAAACTAAAGTGGTTAGATATAGGTTGATTTGGTTTAGGTTGGGACTTGTGGTTCCACTTAGGAGCAACCATTAAAAAAGCGGACGAGGCGTCCGCATTGAGTCGCGCCTCAAGTCGAGGCGGAAGTCATGCGTACCGGGGCTTAGCCTCGAACCATTCAGCGAAGCGTACAGTTTTTTCGCATGAGGCTTACGCATCAGAGCGTAACACCTCGAGGCCGTACGAGGCACCGCCTCGAAATTTTTTATTTGGTATATATGTAAATACGACGCAGCCGATTCGTGTTCGCGTATAGGATTAGGGCTTCCTGTGAGAATTGAAAGGCGAATTGGAGGCGAAGCTGTGAGGGAAAGAGACGAAAACGTAAGGGAAGGAGACGAAGTCCTGAGTGCAAGTGACGAAGTCGGAAGGAGACGACGCAGGAAACGAAGCCAAAAGCAATAATGGTTTCGAAAGCAGGAAACGAAGCCGAAGTTGTGAGTGCAGGAAACGTTCAGGCCTAGGTTAGGTCGGAAGAGCAGGTGAGCAATGTTGTGGGCCTTGACTTTGACGTGCAGTAACGAAAGCTTGAAAAACTCCTAATTCGGCTTTCTTTCATTCATCTGCTCAGTACATGCTCGGTACTACTAGGTATCGCTAGGTATGGCTAGGTACATGCTTGGTACCTAGCAGTATATGCTCGGTACCGAGCATGAACCTAGCGATACCTAGTAGTACCAAGCATGTACCTAGCGAAACCTAGCGATACCTAGCAGTACCTAACGATACCTAACAGTATATGCTCGGTACCGAGCATGTACCTAGCGATACATACTCGATATCGAGCGGTACATGCTCGGTACCATTAGGTACATGCTCGGTACCGCTCTGTATCTTTCCATACGAACAACTTACGAACTTAAAAACAAGTAGAATTTCAAAATTACTCTTACAATAAAATTGTGTTGTGATTTCTTTGCCTGTGAATAAATAAAAATCTTGTATAAATCAATAATTTGATGTTGATTATTTATTTCTATAAATTATTAGCAATGACTAGTAGCAAAAGAAGGAAAGATCCTGCATGGAAATATGAAACTCAAGTTGAAGTGTCAAGCAAATGTTCAATCAAATTCATACTAAGAGAAGAAATTGATTGACAGAACGAAGGAATAAACTAGTTAATATTATGCTTAACAAAAAATTGAAAAATAGACATCTCAAATTACAGAAGCAATGAAGCATTGATAATGAAATTGACCCTTTACTTATTGATGATTTACAATCTGATGATGAATAGGTTACTCCTAAGAATGCTGATGTTTCTGAAGTTGAAGCAGAAGGAGAAACTCATGTCAATGAAGACAATGAAGCAACTACTCATGTATATAAGAGAGAAAGAAAGTGAGATTGGAACTTCAAAAAAATTCAAAAATATTCTTAAATATAATGAATTATTTTTTATGTTATTATTATTTCATTCTAGAGCTAATGAAATATTAACTGATATAGGGGATAAAAGAAAAAATATTATAGATGAAGAAGAGTTTGCGGATGACTTTGACATGAATTATGAAGATTCTTTGAAGACAATTAAAGTAATGATGAGCATGCATTAGGTCTTGATCCTAAAGGGATGTTTTATTTTTAAGTGAGTTTATTTTAAATCTTCTTTTTCAATAATATACTAATATTATCTTAAAACAAATCATCAAATTCACAATTGACATAATATTTTGTTATTTTTTGTCATTATTTATAATTTTAAATTACTTTATTTTTATAATTTTTTAGGCTTATGCCTCGATCCGCCTCGCCTCGCTTATCAAAAACGCCTCGATTCCCGATTTCGCCTTTTAAAACGTTGCTTAGGAGTTGCCAGTATATTTGGATTTGGGCCAGAGCTTACGACTTTCATTGAAATAGCCCAGATAGTGTGTCTCACAGCTTCCCGTGGAAGTAGCCCGTTGGTTTTATTCAAAAAATTGGTCTTGTTGCTTCTATTAAATATAGCCCATAGGTTTAGGTTTGAAAAAGGGATCTTAGTAATTTCATTGAAAACAGCCCATAAGATAGGTCTTACGGCTTTCATTAGAAGTAGCCTGTCAGTTTGGGTTTAGGGTTATTTACTTGGAAGTTTCCCGAGCATGCAGGTCTTACGCTTCGCTTAGAAGAGACTCGTAGTTGGGATTTAGGGTTAGGATACATTGACCTAGAGTTTTTCCTAACGTGTGGGTCTTAATGCTTCTATTAGAATTAGCCCCTGCAACAGCTCTGACAGCCTCTATTAGAGGTTGCAAAGTGAACTTGAGATAGCTGGGGTTTAGCATAGTGGGGGGGTTTGTGAGGGGGGGGGGGGGGGGGGCTTTAGCATTAGATACTTAGTTTGGTGCTTTTCACCACCTGTACTAGTGTCTTGTTTACAGTAATAGCTTTATTTGTTTCAGCACTAGTCTTACCTACAGTAGTAGTTTTACTTTCAGTAGTTTTTTTACTTTCAACACTTTTTTTGTTGTTTGTTTTTACCTACCGTACTAGTGTTCTTCTTACAATGCTAGTTTTGTTTACCACCCTACGCTGACTTTTATTTACTTGTGTGAGACCCCTTAAGTAAAAAGAAGTTAAACTCTTGTACATCAAAGCACCTTATGGTGTAATAGTTAAAATTTCATTTAAGAAACTCCACAGTTAAGCATGTTTGGGATGTGTGACCTCCTATTGGTATAGAACCATGAGGCCCTTAGGTCAAAGGGGACAATATCTTAATTGTTCAGAATTTTGATTGTTACAATTGGTATCATAGAAATACACCAGCCATAAAATGAGAACTAAGTGTCATACAAGACTAAATGTTACGCAAAGGGAGTCACCTCTTGAATCTTGTATGGGACAAAATGCTACATTCCGGGAGTCACCACTTGAACTTTTATGGGCCACTAAAATCCTATTTGCCTGGTGAATGATTCTTAGATAAAGATGATAATCAACGTCAATTACTTGAGTGGGGGAGATTGTGAGACCTCTTAAGTAAATAGAAACTAAACTCTTAAACATTGAGACGTCAATTGGTGTAATGGTAAAATTTTCATTTAAGAAACTCCGCAGTTAAGAGTGCTTATCCCAAAAAAATCATAGGGTGAGTGACCTCTTGAGAAGTTATACAACAGGACAAAACCATGATGCCCTTAGGCCAAAATGGATAATATCTCTATAATTAAAAGTTTGAGCTGTTACAACTTGTTTGCAGGTGTTCGTATCTAGGAGTTGCTGAATTTACTAGGAGTTGGGTTTAAGTTTGCTTAGGGATTTTGGAGTTTTCCTTGTTTTGAA